ACAGATTTATGCTGTGTTTTCCCCGTTTTCTCTCTTTTATATGTCTTGATATCACCTGGACTGCATTACCATTCAAGTTCTGAACATATTGATATATCCCTATTTAGGGTAGGTGGTTAAATTTCAACCACTTAAGGCTCCACTCTTGAGGATAAAAGCTCTTTTGGGCTCTTTTCCACGTTCACCCACTATTGTTTGTCAGTGGAAATTATATCTCTCTCAGTCATAGAATAGGCTGAAACAGCCAAACCCACTTGTTAGAACAAATGTTGACTTGTTTTTGTCCATGTCGTGTGTCCACCTGGCACAAAAAGGGTTAACGCAGTAATTTTATTTGCCCACCATACTTCCCCAGGGTATTGATAAGCCATTCCTAATGTAGACTGCAAATATCAAAGTGAATCATCAATATCAAATGTTGTAGATGTTATTATTCCGGTAGCTCTTGTATTTTAGACTACTTGAGAAAAGATGCGCCCTTTCTAGGAAATCCGTGTGACAGCAGTGGGCTTTATCGGTAAAGCCACAGTCAAAGCTACATGAGGCAAACCCTGCCCATATAAGATGCACGCACAGCTGCATCCTGTTAGTTACAAAAATATATTTAGTACAAAATATTGTGCAACAAGCCCACTTCAACATGTGCTGCTTATGCTCACTCAGTTATTGGTAGCTCCTGCTTAATGTCAGATATTAACATTATTTGATAGGACACCGCTGCTGTTTGAAATAACAGACGCTTCCTTTGGACAGGGTAAGCATGATACTAGCCACCAAGCCCCAAACTTTAGGGATTCTTGTAGGTGTGAATGCCACCATTAAGCATAATTTATAATCAGAGTTGGACAAACAAATAACCCTACAGCAAACTGGAGGGGGCGGAGCCGACTACCATGCAGACCAGATGTGCTCAGCAAGAGCTCCCGCATCTGGTTCAAAATTTTTCTGGGACTATTCCTGGGACACTCATCTTTATTGACCACAGCGAGCATTCATTTTGTTTACAGGATGATGCTGTATCTGGAGATTTATGAGCTTCTCCTATGCTGAATTGCCCAACTCAAGGCTTGTGGCCTACATGTGTTAGAGCAGCGGGGAGATGGCTGTTCTTTCGGTTCTCAGATGGTCCCCATCTATAGCTGTCCCCCCCCTCCTTTGGACCAGCAGGGGTTATCCCAGTCCTCACTGACCCGCTCCACATACTTTAGTCGACTGCAAGCAGCGATCCCAGCACAGGTCTCGAGAACGGTAAATGCCTTCGAGATGGCGGCTGCGATCCACCTTCTAAGCATGGGCCCATGCTGTCTGTATCTGCCCAACAGAGCACAATAGACCAGCTTACACAGCGCCTCAACGCAACCTTTGATCGCTTCTGGATGAAACTAGAGGCTCAACTTCTGACAGTGCCAGCTGGGAGCTGGAGGAGTGGGCGAGGTGAAGAAGAGCAAGGTTTGAGCAGGCCCCCTCCAGGCACAACTTCCACATGTGCACTTGTATCTGCCTTCACTGGCCCACCTGGGCTGATAGCCATCAGCTATATACTCCCTCTGCGTCATCCACTCAGACTGAAGTCCCAATGCCGCAGGCAGCAACGAGTCACCTGAAGCTTCCGCTATTCCCCTCCTGGGAAGGACTTGGACTCAACCAGTCCAAGGACCCAAGAGGCAGGCCCTCATCATGGCCTGAGGCTGGAGGGAGGCCATGCTCCGCACCTGCTTGACAACGGTTCTTAGCTGTCTCTGCTGGTTCCCGACCACTGGTGTTGGTTGATGTTGTACTCACCTTCCAGAACTCGTCCCCTCTTATGCTTCCTGCTTTCCGATGTCGCCATCTTGAATTCCCATGCCATTACTTGCTGATCAATACAGTGATTTCGTTTTGTGTTCTGTTTTTATTTTTATGTTTAACTTGTGTGGAGCAGATATGGTCTAGACTGATCTAAACTGGGTCTACCTTAAGTTGTGCAGTGTCGTGCAGATGTGTGGGGTCTCAGTGGCCTACCTACCTTGTCTGTTTAGCCTGATTAGTCACACTTCTTCTATGTATGTTAATCCATTTTGCTTTACCTTACCAGTTAATCATTGCAAAGCACCATCTACCACTCATATTGTCTAGCTGCTATCAACCCTGACAGCCTCTTTCTAGACATGTGAGCCTAGGATGTCTTTCTTGTTCAGTTTCTTACGAGTCTGGAGTTGTACTTAACTTGTATTTGCCAAAATACTGTATTTTGACTCTGCATTATTTATGTAACATGATATCATCTCAATAAAAGAAAGATTGAAACAAAACCCTATATCAAAACACTATAGTCACCAAAACAACTTTACCTTAATGAAACAGTTTTGGTGTATAGATCATGCCCCTGCAGTCTCACTGCTCAATTTTTTATATTGTAACATACATTTTATATTTAGATATTGATTGGTTCACAGTTACAGCTCATTCTGTATGGAGAGAGTGAGATACCTAATGCTTTTAAATGTTCTCATCCTGCTGTAGATCACCAATGACTGAGTTACTTGGATACAGCACTGCTTTTCAAACTTGGGTTGAAATCTTGGAATGCAAAGGAGTCTGGCCACAAACATGCATTCAAACATTACATGCCTCCATTCATACACTACACGCCTGAGTTCACACCATACACTAAATGCCTGCATGCCAACATAAAAGACTTGTGCACAAGTCAAACCATTTTTTCAGAAAATTAAATTTAGATTCGGACCTGTGAAACGTGTTCAGTTTATGGTTTAGGTTATCCGAATATTGTCCATGAAAAATATTTGGAAAAACGATTCGGGAGAACAAAAAGGGGTGCAAAAATGCACCGGTCAGTGTACTGCAAAATATACATAATTTAAATCTGATGTATATATATTACAGTACACAGGCATATTTTCCTGCCTTTCAGTTCACAGTTCAAGTGAGAAGGTTTTGGGTAAATACCTGCCCACGGACTTTAGCATAACATTTGTAGCTCTTTCATACATACGCTTCCCACGAACCAACAATCTAAAGAAAAACGTGCAATTAGATAAAAGGCAGTAGGTGGTTGGAAAGACAATTATATGAAATACGGTGCTCTGTATAATTGTGTTGCACCCGAGAAGACAGAGATAATGCAGTTCAAGGCAGTATACACAGATAAGGCAATTTAAAATAAATAAATATATATTATTAATTATTTACTTTTTCTTTTATTATTTATTTTTTATTCTTTATTTTTCAGGTAAGAAAAGAAATGTAAAATACGCCTTCTTTCCCATTAGGTGTTGGAGCTCTGGTACCGTGCCCAAGCAGAATAGAGGTAAGTAAATGCCCCAGACACAGTTTGTGCAGTGTAGGCTGCGTGAGCTTAGCCGACATGTGTCAGTTCCCTTCCAAGTCGAAGCCACACCCTTATTTTATTTGTTTGAGGGATGAAAAGGAGGTAATACAATAGATAGAAGTAAACAATAGAATGCATTTCAGGTAGAACTTAAACATCAATCATATAAAATGTAAAACTAAATTTGTGATTCACTGTCATATTTCATAAAATAAAATAACACAGGAGTTCTCTCTGAAACAAATTAATTTTTTTAACATATTTTCCAAGAAATTAAAGAGTCACATACCGGTATGCAGCGTGCGCATATGGCATTTTTAAAGATGAGGTAAAGGGTCAACACACAAGGGGTTTAGAGGGATGATATGCTGTTACAGCCATTTCAGTTTAAAGGGCTTAAAAATCGGCCATGTTATTAATTAATGTTGAATATATCTTACAACAAAATGTACATTACAGAATCAGTCAAAATTTCCACCTGCCCAGGAGTCGTTGGCAAGTAGACATTTACACCTGGTGAGTAGATATTCACCACTGAAGAGTGTACCACGGACCCTCCATGGCTTGCTAGTAACTTTTAGGCCTGGCTAGTAGCGTAGTATATAAACAAGACATGGGTATATAACCCACCAGATGAGGGCGCTAAACACTAAAGATACAGTGATATAGAGGAAGTCAAAAATATAATAAAAATATCCAAAGACTTTATTCTAGGAAATATACTAAAAATACAAATCAATAAAAGGGCACAGTGAAAAGGTATATACGCGGGACGAAACGCGTAGAGCCATCCGGTTAGCAGTCCAGAGACCCCACTACCACCACAGTTCCAATTGCAAGTACTTACTAGCCCTAGGAGTCACGACCAAGGGCCTTGTGTTTTCTCTTTTTTTCTTGCTGGTTTAGTGGCTGGTGCCGGGCATTTGTACCCTGGTCTCGTAATAGTACTGCTTCATTTCACTGTATATACCTTTTCACTGTGCTCTTTTATTGATTTGTATTTTTAGTATATTTCCTAGAATAAAGTCTTTGGATATTTTTATTATATTTTTGACTTCCTCTATATCACTGTATCTTTAGTAAAAACAAAGAGAACATTACCTGTGCTCTGGCCTAAATCCCTATGTACATTTAAACAAAATGGAGGCTCTTTAGTTTTATTCCAATGGCCATTTGAATATATAAGCTCACCTGCCACGTCAAGGCAAGCCTCAATAGGTGAGTTCCTACACTAGTTATTAGATATGCTGATATCAGCCAAGAATCTCCAGTGAGACAGGAAGGGGTATTTTATAAACCCTTTCACATTTATCTTTAGTGTTTAGCTAAATATATACCCATCTCTTGTTTATATGTTTGCTCTCATAGGCTTTTTTGGAGTGTGCCTACAGAGTGACGGCTCTCAACATAGAGATCCTTATGTTTGGTTCTAGTAGCGTAGTGTTTAAAATTTTAAGATAGAATAATAGAGATGATAAGAATATATCTTTATAGCTGTAGAGTTGAAGATATTCAGTACCATTTGAACTCAGTCCTTGATTATATAAAATTGGATTCAAAAATATTAAAGTATTTACAAAGCCTATTATAGCAGTACTGAGCTAAACAAAGGAAGTGGAACTTGCCTTAAGCTCTACCCTTTGTCAAGCTTAGGGAAAATATGGAATAGAAAGCTGTCCCTACTTACTTTGTCTTATGTATTTTACATGAAGCAGATTAAAAATGAAGAAAAGAAGACCTGATTTGGTTCAAAAAGGCAAGTAAAGCTTGACAGAGCCACTCACTTCTCATTGAGCGTGGTGAAATTACATGCTGGGCAGAGGAGACTGCATTCAACTCAGTACCCCTCAGCCACACTTTAAACATCGTAGGAGACATTAATAAGGGTTAGGGAAGTTGAGAAAGGGACACGCAAAAGGGTTGGGGCTGGGGAGTAGATATATACTGACACTGGTGGGTAGAGAATGAAAATGGAGGTTCACAAGACAAAGAACGGAGGGGTAAATAGAGAATGTTTTGTGGACATATAGAGAATGGGGACACAAAAAAATTGAAATGGAGGGGTGAACAGACAGAGAATGAGGGTGATGGGAGGTGGAAGACTTAAGATGGGGAGGTAGACTTACAAAGAAGGGGAGAGGACCAACAGAGAATTTGGGGAGGACAGACTGAAAAGTGGTGGTGCACAAACAAACTGAGGCATGGACAGACAGACAGAATGGGAGAATATGGGAGATATGGAATATGTATATTTACATTAATTTAGTATCACTAGAGGGGTATCATCCCAAACATACCTCTACAATACAGCATCGTGCTGTTAACCTTTCAGACGACTAATTTATGGTAACCATTTTTTAAAACAAATAGTCATATAATCAATTATAAGCTCCTTTGAGCTGGAGTCACCTCTTACGACTGTCTATTTTTTTTTTTTTTTTTGCCTGTCAATAATTTATTGTTACTTATCTCTTTTGTTAATTGTAAGGTGCTAAGCAAACTGTTTGCGCTATATGCATTGATCAGCCATAACACTGAAACCACTGACGGTGAAGTGAATAACATTGTTACATTGGCACCTGTCAAAGCATGTTCAAAGCAGGAAAAATGGGCAAGCAATATAAATTGAATGACTTTGACAAAGGCCAAATAGTAATGGCTAAACAAGTAGGTCAGATCATCTCTAAAATGGCAAGTCTGGTGGGGTGTTCCCGGTAAGCTGTGGTTAGTACCTACCAAAAGTAGTGCAAGGAAGGACAGCTAGTGAACCAACATCAGTGATGCATGTAGGGAGTGAAGTATAGCCCGTCTGGTCCAATCACACAGCAGAGATATTGTAGCTCAAATTACTAAAAAACATAACACTGGACACGATAGAAAGGTGTCAGAACACATAGTGCATCACAGTTTGCTACATTTGGGACTGCGTAGGCGAAGACCAGTCAGAGTGCCCATGATAACCCCTGTCCACCGCCAAAAAATCCTTCAATGGAGACATGAGCATCAGAACTGGACCATGGAGCAATGGAAGCAAGTTGCCCAGTACAATGAATCTATTGTACAATGAATTTTTTTGTAGATCAGGTGATTGGCCGGGTGCAAGTGCGTTGTTTACCTGGGAACGAGATGGCAGCTAATGTCCTTCTTTTCCAAGGACTCCATGTTGTTGGTGTGTCTGGCACAAATACAAAAAAAAGAATCACTGTCTAGTAGATATCCCTCAATGAAAACATGCATACATATATTTCTATTGGGTATATACATAATTGCAGCTAGCAAAAGCTATAGATCTCTTGTCTGCTGTCAGGAACTGCTCTGCTCTGTTCTGATGTCTGACCATGGCTTCTTGGATCCAGTACTCTTTTTACAATTCTTGTTTAGTTTTCCTTGGTTTTTCTGGTTTTCTATTCTGTGTCTGATTTTCTTAATGCTGGGTTCTGGGTTCATTCCTGTATTCTGTCCCTGGAATTCCAAGTCTCCAGGATTCCTTTATATGTTTGTTTTATGTTGCCACACCTGTTCCTTTTCCATGGTTCCTTTTGTTTCAGTTGGTTCCTGCAGGCTGATGCTTCAAGTCATCTGCCCCTTTCTTGCAGGTAAGTGCTGTATGTGTTCTATTATGGTTTAGTTAGCAGACATTTCACAGAGTAGGACCTGCCGAATATGGGGTACATTGGCGTTGTGGCAGGCTTATGTAATGTATGATCATATAATGTAACTAAATCCCCATAGTTTTCATATATAGTGCTTAGTTTTGTCTCTTCTTGTTTTGCCTATTATATCTTGTCTTGTTTTATTTTGTCTTTTCCCAGTTCATGTACAGTCCTGTCCTGCCCTGTTCTTGTTTTCCTCATGTCTTACATGTTCTGGGTTCTGCTTTGTATCCTACTCCGGTTCTGGGTTCTCCTAGTTTTGTCTTGTTTTATTGTTTGGTGACTATCCTAGCCTTGCCTTGTTTCGGTACTGGATACATTCCTGCTGCAGAGCCTCCCTATTCAACTCCTGGGAGGTCTGCTTATTTCCTAGCTCCTAGTTCCTGGGATTCACTAAGCTGCAACAGGGTCTTTGTATGTGGCCGCACAAATGCTGGTGCTCAACACCAAGGGGCGTGCGTTTACCCTGCACCAGGCCCTACCCCACTTCCACGCTGAAGACTCCCAACTTCTCATCAGGCACTCAGGGGTTCTGGGTTTCCATACCGCCACCCATGACATCTGCAGCCTTTACCCCTCCCCTTCCAACCCCGCCCACACTTTATGTGGCTGAGCAATAACAGACTTCCGAAAGCAGCTCAATGAGAAGTCTTTTCAAGGCAATTGCTGCTTTGTGAGTTTATCTCCACCGAGCTAAACAACCAGGAAGCAAAGGTTCAGTTGTCTGATTGACAGCCAGAGGGGTGTTACAAGATACATTTATAAAAGTGTGTTAATACAATGATCCACTAACCCATTATTTGCTTGGCCTCCAGATGGCAGAATTGCATTTACGATGTCATCGTATACCAATTAAATTTCATCTCCATAGTTATTGTTGCATTCACACACATACACATACGAGCCTTATAAATTTGTAAGATATGTTCCACATGCTTGTAAGCAATGAACAAGTCATGCCAGTTCTTTAACCCCTCCACATGATATGTGTGACATGTCATGATTCCCTTTTATTCCAGAAGTTTGGTCCTTAAGGGGTTAAACATAATTTCTTTAATGGATATTTTGTTATGTAAGGATATACCATTATATTGATCTTATCATTATTGAAGGATTCATTTTAATGAATGTGTAGTTATTTTATAAAACAGAAAAGAGGGCAGGAGGAGGAGAGGAAAAAAACATAAAAATGGGAGGTTATGTTGCTTCTGTGACCCGTGTGACTATGTAAAAGGAACACCTCGAGCTATAAATAGTAATCACAGTAGTCTAATTTATGAATTTGAAAGGTTGGAGTGGCTTTTTTTTGGGGTGTACTAGGGATTAAACTGCATGCAGCACTGACGGGGGTATGATAAAATTCCTGTACGAGTGAATCGGAATTTAAGAGTGGTGTAAATAGAAAAAGAAAAAAGGAAAACAGGGTTAGAAGCACATTGGATCGTTGTAAAAATGCTGGATAATAGCAGAAATCTTGCTTGTTTCTTAGCCTTTTTTGTTTGAATGAGTCATACGGTGCTTTGAGGTGTTTATCATGTACTTTGCTATCAACGCAAATCCTATGGTATCTGATAGCCTACCTGTATGTGACGGCTTGTTTTGTGATATGGGTGTAAGCTGGAGCTGGGGTGATAGCTGCACTTGTCGCTACACTGTCTGCAAACTGATACATTGAGCCTGTCGTTGTTGATCATAACATTACTGTCCAGGAAACGAACACAGTGATTTGAGGCTATATATTTATGAGCTTTACAATAGCTGTGATCAAATGGAACCATCAGTCAATATTTTGCTACAAATTAGGACCATTATCTAGATTTCCAAGCAATGAATGGATGCATGAATGGATGGAAGGAAGGAACAAAACTGGAAAAATGTGTTTCTCTTGTTTAGGACGCAGCATTTATTTTTTATTTTTTTTATGAATATAGAGATTTGCTTTATCTATTTTACAATGCTCATCCGACATTTAAGTGATTAATTTGTGACTGTGATGAAAGCGCTGAATAACCCTATTTAAAAAAACAAGAAAGCACACCTGGCAAGCTATTTTAAGCATTTAACGATATGTTTTTGCCTATTCTTCCTTAGTCAAATAGAGATGCAATTAAACTCTATTCAAATGGAAGGAGCCAATCCGAATGAATTCTCCAGAACTATTTGAAATCCTCTAAAGTAAAGAGAATGCTATAGTGCTATAGGGTGTAAGTGGTAAATGGTAAAGCACTCTTTCAAGGAATACATGAAAATAAAACAAATGGATATGCTAAACGATATAAAGTCTTATTAACAAATAATGCTAAGGAAACACAGGCATTTTAGAATGCTTTAAAATGTAAGTTTGCAATAAACTAGCAATATTGCAAGCGACATTCCTTCCTGTGTGTGTAAGATTTGAAGAAGAGTCTTTGCACTCATCAGAATATTATATCAACAGAGTGAAACCAGATTTCACTCTATTCATGGGCCAAGACTGCGGGGGACCATCGTGAGGTAGGCTATTGACTTTGCCAAGTTACCATGTGAGTTTAACCAAGAGCAATCAGTACTACCTTGTGTACGAAAATTACCAGATGCTAAATATGGTAGAACATCATAGAATCATAGGGTTACTCTAACCTTTTCTATGAAATAGTTTTCCACGCCCATGTGGGCGAAGGAGGGGTGGAGAGTCTAAAAGCAGAAGTGGTCATGGTGGTTGGAGTAACTGTTTAATAGTATGTACACACTTCCATCGTATCACATAGAGGTCGTAGATATCTCAAAGAACAATTAGTTGTACAATTATATTGTTATGTTGTGATGTTGCAATAATATTAAATAAAAGTTGTATCTAATTGCATTCAGCAACATTATCAGGTAACTGGCACATTTATTAAAGCTCTAACAGACATTTGTCCTTTGTAATGGCCAGTTTGAATCTGATATGCTTCTGGTCCAGAAAATAGAAAAAATGATGATTTGTGGTATTATTTGGACTGGCTTTCCTAAAAATCACACGTAAAGATAGAATAGATAAAAAAGCCATTTGGTAGTGCATTTCTCTGGCATAATGCATACTCCAGCTTGAGGAGCTCCAGCGACTTCAGATTGATCCAGCGGCCTGGGTTGAGAACCAGATGAGATGCTACAACTTGAAATTAAGAGGCGTTCTGGAAGCTATAAACACTGAGGAAATACTAAACTTTGTTTGTTTGACAAACTGGTGAAATTATACTCTATGTCTATTCTGCAACTGCTCCAGCCTCTGCTACATTGGATCTTATTGTCCTCTTTTAATCTACCCAAAAACTCTTTTCCTCACCTCAGTTTAGGGGAAGACTCCAGCTCAGTTGAAGGGCTCTTTACTCTTCATTTTCCCATGCCTTCAGGAAGAACAGCCTTGCTTGGCAGAGGTGCCTGAAGTCTCTTTTGTAGGTTCTCTGTTCTAGGGAAGTCGCTTAACAATGGGGAGTCCCTAGGGTACACTCATATTTTAACATCAAGGCAATACTCAGTAAGTCCTGAGCCCTCAGAAACTGGAGGCCAGTCTGCTTAAGCTTGTCATTTGAGCCAATAATCCTACAAAAATAATTTCTCCACTTGAACACCTATGTATAAGGACCTGCTATTATTCTCATGTATGCTTATTACATTGTTCTACACGTTGTCTTACGTGGAGGGAGATATAAATAGAAAAATACAAAAATCCAGCAAAAGAGAATGCCAGAGTTTGAAAATTAAAACACTGGTGACACATGGTTAAGCCATCTGCATAATTTCCTCACTAGTAACATTGAAGTAATATTGCTGGTTGTCATAATCTGCAACCATATCGAGTTTTGGTAAAATGTGTGATAAATCATTGGTAACCAAATTCAACGTCTAGATATTTTCTCGGGCAATGTGCACTTGCGTTAAATAAAACGTGTCAGTTGCACATCGCAATAGAGTCAAAGACGGCATGTTGCGAATGTGTATATTTACCAGTAGGAGCTATCGTTTCTATAGAGTGGAATGTTAAAGCAGAATTCACAAAGTAATAAAGTCCATTCAGATGGTTGTTGATGAATTATTAAGTGCTTCCACTACAATTTCCCTTTGATGCGTTTTTCTTTCACTAATAAAGGGCAGAGCCGAGCTAAATTCTGTCTGCATTTCAGTCTACGATACTGGGCGCGATCATTTTAAACCACAGAACTGGTAAAATGACCAATTAGTAATGTATTTCTTATTGCTTGAGTTCTGATGGATGCACGTTGTGGATATATATATTAGGAACACACAATCCCTTTCAGCAGCACGAAAAATGCCTTATCTGTGGAATTAAAAATGTTTACATTTTGAGATGACTAGGCTACTAAATTTACACAGATTTCACATGCAGGCTTTTAAATAATATTTATTAGATTAGTTTATAAGTGTAAATGTATGTCTTCTGTGGTATTCGACCTCTGGATATCAATAGGGGTCTGTCTCAATACTCCTGCATGTTTTCAAGGATTAGTGTTGTATACAATGTATCCATTAAATGGTTTGCAGATCTCTCCTTATAAAAAAAAGGCCTGCATGGTGTTAAAATAACACAATAGGCACCCAGAACACTTCATCTTATTGTAATGGTTTTGGTCAGTGCCTCTATCTGTCTAACCCTGCAAAGTAAAACATTTCTGAGAAACTGCAATGTTTACATTGCAGGGTTAATTCCACCTCCAGTTATTGTCTTCCAGACAGCCACTAGAGGTGCTTCCTGCTCCCTAACAGAGTTTAACTCCTATTAACAATATTGGACATCCTCACGCTTTGAATGAGGACATCTGACATCTTCAAATTCCCCACAGGAAAGCATTGATTCAATGATTTCCTATGGAGAAGCTTTAATGCAGGCATTAGGTCCCACCAACAGTGTTATGTCACAGAGTCTCAGTGCTGAAAAAGCTAAGTAAGAAAACATTTTAACCTTTTAATCAGCCAACAGGGGAGCAAGAGAGGGGGGCTACAAACCTAGGGACAAGGATACTATAACACTAGGAATACGGGTTTGTATTCTTAACCCCGTAGTGTTCCTTTAAGTTCACTATGTAGACAAAGTAGACCAAGATTAACCTAACTTTAGTGTTCTAACAAGAAGTTGGTTGGAATTGGGACGTCATTTTAATTGCAACTTTTTTTTTTTTTTAAATCGAATACAGGTTTTGCACCATTTGATTGTGTCTGTGCTGAACGTGATCATATGACAGTGTTAGATATTGTGGAGCCTACTGTGAAAGGTGAGACCCCCTGAGCAGCCCATTGGTGGGTTACTTTTGGGGATAGATCCATCCCCAAGCAGTGCAGCAACCAACCGCTCCTGATTTCATAAGCTCATCTCTGTAGGCTGTACCAAAGCCATGTAGTTTCAGAGGCTTAGTCATGCCTAGACAATGCTCAAATATGAGGCCCAGCCCCTAATCCCTTCTTTACCCTCCCCACAATAAACCAAGTTACTACCCAGAGCTCTGAATCCTCTCATAATTTCCATCCCCACTTACCACATGACTAACAATCATCAAATCCCAAATAATATTACTCCCATCCTCTTTAATCCTCTCATCACTCCATCACATTACCCCATCACATTCCCTTAATTACCATTTTTCCAGCCCTGTCACCCCCATACAAAATTCTCATATTCACTTTACCCCATCCTTCCAAACTCCTATCAACCCAATGCCCTGATCACATTATCTCGTTCTCATAATTCTATTCACCTCATAATCCCTTACTCCAATCCCCATAATGGCAATAAGTCCCAAAACTTTCCATAACCACCTCAGACTTAAACCATGTGACTATAGATTTCATATGCTTGAAATGTTCAGTTATAAATGTAGACTTTATGCCAAAGTCTATTTGCACTTGAGATTTGGCTCATGATTTTTAAAGCACAAGATGCCAAAATCACAAATTCAGATTTCATTATTAAGCCCACAGTAGTCCTCAGCTCCAGGCCTCCTCTGAACACCCTAATCCAGCACTTCTCACCCTCAACTTCATAATCCCTTCATAACCAGCCACTGCAATCACAATACCCCCATCATACAATCCCATCAATCTCCGACCCAATTACATTACTCATCTCAAATACCATCAAGCCCAATCCTTTTATGTTCTTCAGTAATTCCATCACACTCAGATGCAATTACATGCATACCATAATCCAATCACCACAAACCATAATCACATTTCCTATTCCATCCTATAACCCCCAGCCCCGTCGATCACATTATCTGAATACTCTTCAAATTTGCCCATCACCATTAACCATACTCCCCATCGAATCAATTGCTGAGTCCACCAGAACTGGTGGTGTAGTGGTGCAGCTTGCGTTTAGCAGCTGGTCTAGGTGCACTGACCAGGAGCTAATGTTCCTCTGTGCTGTGTGGATGGTGGACCATCTCTCAAATACAACACTGCAAGGGAGCACTGACTGGCTGTCACTGTTCCCTTGCAACACTACAGCCAGGGGACGGACTGCTGGATCTGGTGCATGGGCAGGTACACTGAGGGGCAGCACGCATGGGGACTTTGGAAAGTCCCCATTAGGCTGTCCCTGTGTGCCCATCTGGGCATAATACCACCTATCTCTGCCTTTCTTTATCTAGTCAAACAAAAGTTATTCCCAGTCATCTGGTCCCATCATCTATAATCTATCATATTTTCACAGTTTTTTGGGGTTTTTTCGGAAGAGCCACTTGCTCAGACCTCTTCAGTTTTTCAGTGTCCCTAAAATAACGTCCTTTAGAATAGCGATAGCTGACAATGGCGCTTGAAATGTTTGTGAACTATTTTCTTAATATGCTCAGCAAGTTCAAATAGCTGCAGTGCCAAGGTAATCCAGCTCGATTTTAGTATTAATACCTGCACATTCTCTTATTTGCTGTATCAGGACCCATAACATGTTGAAGGTTACAAACCAGAAACCAGATTTACACAGTACTCTGGTTTTATTGATATTCTCCTGCTGTGACTCACGGCACAGAAACAACAGGTGTCCCATCAATAAAATAGGCAGCGTAAAGAGGAATGACATTTAACATAATCCGAAGCAGTCATAAATATAACTCTATTTGATAGAAGATACAATACATAGAATGGTAAGGCCTCTGTCTAAAAAAAATAAAACTGTCTTATGGCAGTAACTGTGGGTTTTAATGGGAGATATGTATTATATTGAAGTGTATTCGCAAAGTGGTGAATAACAATCTCATAATCAATATTTTTCAACATGAGATAAGCTGTTAATGATGTTGAAAAGATAACAATCCCATGGTTCAGAAACTTTTCAAGAAAAAGTCTTGAAAAGTCAATGAAAACATTTTTGTTACAATTACCCAACACCCTAAAATATTTCTATGTTTTAGTGAATGAACAGATTCAACGATGTACACAAGCAATATTAACTGAAAATTCTTCACAAATCAATTAGACCAACTAAAGAAGACAATAGCACTGCACAATCAGCACAACCACGGAACTGTCTGTTGTATTCCATTACTCAGATTTAGATCGCTTATTTATGGTCTACCTAAGAGGTACACCTGGTGCAGTGGTACCCATTGCCCCCCTCTCATTCCTTTGCTCACGTCCTTCTTTCTTTTTCTCTATCCCTCCTTTCCTCTCGTTCTTTATGGTTTATGTTTTTTTAGGGTAATAGTATTCTGACTCAGATCATTTTTCAAGTTGTATGGCTCAATGTTCTATTGCTATTTTTATTTCATTTATTGTTTCCTTAATTGTTATTCTTTGCAACTGAAAAATGTGATAAGATCGGTAACCTTGTATCTATTGTAGTTGGATCATTCTATAGTGCCTGAATTCCCATCTTAAAATAAAGATTATTTTTTTAAATCCCACACAGTCTGCAATGTTTATATGGATCATAATAGGTTAAAAGGAAACTCTAAGCACCAAAACCACTTCATGAGCAGCATTTCATTGAAGGACCAAGTTTGACTCGGTTATGGAGGTGAAAGCACCTCTAGTGGCAGTCAGGAAGACAACAACTAGAGGTGTATTTAACACTGTTTATACAAAAGAGCAATGTTTTACATGAAAGGGTTCAAATTACAGTACTACTGCACCATTGAGATTAAGTGGTCTGGGTGCCTTTAGTGGTTTTTTATGCCCTGTGCTCAAACTCCCACTACCCTTGGGCAGCAGCAATGGCTATATTATTTATCAAACCAAATACACAGAACACAAGCAAAAAAACCTCCCCCCAAAAAAACTCTACAACTATCTGTATAGAAATTAAACCACTAGTATGTTGATCAGAGAAGGAGAATTAGTTGTGCGTAAGGGGAAGTGTTGTTCTTATATAGAAAATACACTCATACAGGCTCTCAAATGCTCATACATCTACAAACTTAATAGATCTGTTTGTAAACAAAGTATGCTAAGTGGTAGAAAATTGATACGAGGTATAAGGTTAACCTAACTATAAGATAAGGCCAGGGACTAATGAAAGTATTTAGAAAATTGGGCAGACTAGCTTCTTATCTTCTTATCTGCCATCGCATTCTACGTTTCTATGAACTAAAGGCACACCTCACAGGTTAAGAACCCCTTGTTTAGATAGAGAAGTCAGGGGGCAGTCAAACTATTTTACTTTTGGACTACTTTCAATGGGGGGAGCATTGGCACTTCTGTCACCATAACCACTATGGTTCCTTGTAGTGGTTATGGTGCTTGGAGTGTTCTTTAAATATACTCATGTGATTAGGCCCATAAGAACTTTCAGCTCCCGGCCCATAAGGCCTTTAATCCAGCCCTGGGTATAAATATTGGGCAATTGGGTAGGAGTATTTGAATCAGGTATATTCTAGTAGTGGGTCAGGAAACTCCAGAATACACATGTGGTTATCTAGCAATACCTCTGATTTACATTGAAGATGGATGAATCAATGAATGGGACAAAATCTTGTTTTTGCAGAATCTGATTACATAGAATGTAATACAGAAGCAAATACAGACATACAAAACTAAGCCCTGCGCCCATACTCCCATTACTACCAGGCAGCAGCAATGGCTATAGGTTCCATAAACCCAAATATATAGTACAAACAAAGTTGCATTATCCCAGATCCCTATGCATGTTTAAATCACAGGGTTTAGTTTTGGGTGTTTGTAATTGCGTCTGCTTTACACTGCCATGTTAATTGACGTGGAGTGAATCTGAAAGTTCCTCTGACCAAGCCGCAGTGTCAGACTGCTTCATTAATTGGTCTCCTCACTTCCTGATCTGTTTTATTCTTTTTAAAGTTCCCTAACTCCATTGGAAGTTCCTTAGACAGCGCTGATTTATAGATTTACAATGTGTTATTAGGGGAAATAGATTAAAATTTTGCGATTTTGTTGAAGTGTGTTATAAATGATGACTTATTTTGTTGTTGTTTATAATTTTAGTTTTACTGATAATTTGAGAACTCTCACCAATAAGATTCTCAAATATAGCACTGTGAATATCTTTACTTCAATGTCATTTGTGATTATGTCTATGTTTTCCAACAAGCACATATCTGAAAATATAATCATCTTTATACCTGCTGATCTGGTCACTATAATTACAGCATATTGGCATATTAAAAAAAAAAAAAACCCTCATTATGAAGTCGCAATGTGAATAACAAATATATTTAACAGCAATTGTGTGATATGTTGCCTGTACATAGTAAGCTTTTCCTTACAGAGGTTACAACTTAATTAATTTGTGCATGCTATAAATTATTATTTCAAAGCTCAGTGGTGAGATGAAATAATTATTTAATCATGTCTTTAATGACAGTCAGACGTGATTGTAATTTATTCATGTATTACAAGCAATTAGGAAACCCACTGAGCAATGTTTAATCTGTAAGGCAGACAGATGGATGTATGGATCTATGGACAGATGGGCTACAAGAAGGATGGATGGATGCATGTATCTATAAGCAATCTCACCTGCTTTCCATACTGGGCAAACCGGCCACCAGCAAAACTTTCTGTAAACATTTTATTTCATCAGATCCATTGTACAGCACTACGGAATCTGATGGTGCTATATAAATAATAAAATAATAATATTAGTAATAAGAGACTAGGATTTTGATGCTTGCTAAGTCAAAGCATTTTGACAGAAGACAGAGGGATGGCCCCAAAGACTTCTTGCAGCATACCACTATAATTAACTAATCAATTGAAAGTACTCCAGTGTCCCTGCAAGATAGATAATATATGCATTTACCTTGAGGTTAATTTTGGAGTTAAACACATTAATATAACACACGTAACCTTTGGCACTACAGATGTTTTGGACTGCATCTTCCGGACCCTGAACCAGCGCCGAGGGACATCGGCGCTGGACAATGGGGGGCAGCAACCTGGGATGGGGGGTGGGAGGGAGAGGGGACCTGCAGTGCCAAGAAAACAGATTGTTTTCCTGGCACTGGAGTGTCCCTTTAAGTTTGTGATAGATAAGGGGAATGCTTTTCAAATGGATCAAGACAAGAAGAAAATGACATCCAATAAAAATCTCATATTACAGGATCTAAATTCAAAACATATTTGAAGGTAATTTTAATTCCTCTGCAATAAAACAGTCTCAACAAGATATCTAAGGCTATGAATCTGAGACACGCACACTAGCATTGCTAAGTACTGCACTAGATGCAATTTTTAATGTCTGGCTTCAATAATTACTGAGCCATGCTGGAGTTTTACCAAAATGAATATTACAGTAATTAGAATGGCGCGATTATATTTTTAATTGATTAACATATGATGTCACAATTATAAAATGGATATTTTTTTAAACACAAAGTTTCAATTGTAATTAATTTATAGAACAATACGCATTTACCGAAATGCATTGTGCAGCTACATAACAGCTCTGCTCATGTCTTGGCCTGCTTGAGATTAGTAGGAGTTACACTGAAGGTCGGCAGCTGCTGCCGTTTTAATTCAGACTTCTCGATAACGATATTTACTTACATTGTTACATAGGCTGAAAAGAGACATGTGTCCATCAAGTTCAGCCCTTCTCACATCTGCTTTTGCTGGTGATCCAAAAGTAGGTGAAAAACACAGTTTGAAGAACTTTTTACAATTTTGCAATAAACTAGGAAAAATTATTCATCTTGATCTCAACATGGCAGTCAAATTTCTCCTTGGATCAAGAATCTGCTACTAGGGCTGTCTTAACTCATGGGCACTATGGGCAGTTACACGTGGCGCCCCACAAGCATAGGGGCCCCATTGGCTTGCCAACTTTTCAGTATATTATTTCGGGAGATTTATTTAGAACCTTCAAACTTTATTAAAATGTTTAGGTGGATTAATCACCTCAACAGCTGTTATCTGTACATGCGATACATATCTTTACCTTGACGAAAACGTACACGTATTAATTGTACATAAGCAAGACAAAATTAGCAAGCCAAAAAGCTATAATAAAGTTATTCTAATATTTTTAATAGTTCACATCAGTTACCTCCCCCTGCTACCTACTAAAAGTTTGTGTGGAATTGGTCTCTGTTGTACAACATGTTTTTTATGTTCAAACACGGATTTTATTGGAGGTACCATTAAATATAAACTTAATTTTATTGATCCTTTTATTTTTTATTCATGTGAGTGGTTGTGAAGGCAGGGCCCCAGTGCACTGCTTTGCCCAGGGGCCTATAATACTGTTAAGACGGCACTGGCTGCTACCCCACACATTTAAAATTAAATCCCTGAGTATTATGTCTTTGCAAGTATTCATCCAGTTCCTGTTTAAATATCTGTACAGACACTCATAAACCCACCTCTTCAGACAGAGAATTCCATATCTTTATTATTCTTACTGTAAAAACAACAACTTTCCTTTGTCTTAGACTAAATTTCCTTTCTTCCATTCTAAATGTGTGACCTTGTATATTATAATATTGCCTAACATAATTGTATATTGCTATCATATCCCCTCTGAGGCACCCTTTTTCTAAACTAAACAGATTTATATTTGTTAACCTTTCTTCATAACTAAAATGTAACATTCCATTTTTTTAAATTTAAATTTTTTTTTAAATACTTTATTTTTGTAATGCAGTGTACACATCACAGACAAGCAAAGACATGTCAAAGTATAGGATCAAAGTGTGTCAACAATAACACGCAGAACATATCAAGATTACTGCACTATTTTAAAAAGTATAGAGAATAGGTTGCTTATAACACAGATTAGTGGATAAATGATAGCATGGTATAAGTTAGTGCATAGCTAAAAACAAACATATAAATTGAACACATATTAGTGAAAAACATATCATATGTTGAGATTAGATTACGGTGACAATGTCCCATGAGAGGAAAAGTACACTTGGTAAACAAGCCCATCGACCTATCCCGTCTTAGCTTATGCCACTGGTTATGCATCACAGTCCTGCTTGATAGTGACTTGCCAATGGGAAACAGACTCAGTC